AATTAGACACCCATGGCTAGTCTTTTACCAGCTCACTTGGTCTCATGGATCTCAGGACAAGAGCCTTTTTAATTGCTATATAAGTGTTGGGGTTTGGGACCCTACTATTTTTCAGGGTCCTAGAGGGCAGACCCCAGTGACACTCTGAAAATCTACTTAGAATCAGCTGGCATGAGCCAGCCCTGGGTGTCTAACTGTAGCACAGACATACCTTCAGAGCTCAAGCAGGAGCACCCACAGAACATGGCAGTTGTTGGCCTGGTGGTATAAACACAAGTCAGTAGACTCAGTCTTTCAGACTTGCTGACATGGGTTTTATTTTGTTTTTTTCAGTGTAGAGGTACTGCCCTAGCTTTTGTTTCAACATTTTTGCCTCTTTGTTTTTGCAGTTTGAGCACACAAAGCAAGAGAAGCAAATGGCCAAGTGGTATCTAATTCAAACCCTGTTTTGACAGCAAATAACTCTCTGAAGTTTCAGGCCAGTTACCTGCTTCTAGACAGCAATACAGTAAGAGAAGTTCATAAAAAGGAAAACATCTTCAGATTTACTCTTTATATTATATTCTTCATTATATAAAAGAGAGAGACCTAGAGGCCCTTTCTCCCTGTTTGGCAATACAAAGAGAAGCCAGGGGAAAATGAAAGCCCTGAAGCCACCTTCACTGATAGCACCACTAACTCTACACAAACACATCCCCAAATCCCTGACCAGGAGTTTTCTATCTGCTATCCACGTTACACAAACCTGGAAATTCCGGACGACCCATCATCTCAAGCACTCGTGCACACATAGTAGGATTATCTGGTTATATTGACTCTCTCCTCAGACCCTATGCTGCCAGCACACCTAGATATCTTTGAGACCCCACCGATTTCCTGAGGAAACTACAGGTCATCAGTAATCTTCCCGAAAACACCATCCTGGCTACAATGGCTATAGAAGCTCTTTCCACCAATATTCCGTACAACGATGGATTATTGGAGTCAGGAACACTCTCCCTAATGATGCCACTAGACACCTGGTGACTGAGCTCTGCCACTTTGTCCTCATCCACAACTATTTCCAATTTGAGGACAATTTATATCTTCAAGTCAGCTGCACAGCTATGGGCACCCACAAGACCTCACAATATGCCAACATCTTTATGGCTAAACTTGAACAATGTTTCCTCAGCTCTCACCCCCTAATACTCTTAGACTGTGTCTACATTGGCACCCTTTTCCGGAAAAGGGATGCTAATTAGACAAGTCGGAATTGCAAATGCCGCGGGGGATTTAAATATCCCCCGTGGCATTTGCATGAACATGGCTGCCGCTTTTTTCTGGCTCGGGGTTTTGCCGGAGAAAAGCGCCAGTCTAGACGGGATCTTTCAGAAAATACAGCCTTTTCCGGAAGATCCCTTATTCCTGACTTTAAGAGGAATAAGGGATCTTCCGGAAAAGGCTTTATTTTCCTACTTTGAAGTAGGAATAAGAGCCTCCGGAAAAGGGCACTTTTTCCGGAGGATCGGGGCCAGTCTAGACGCTCTTTTCCGGCTTTTTTAAAAGCCGGAAAAAAGCGGCGGACATTTTTATTTAAATGCCGTGGGGGATATTTAAATCCCCCGCGGATTTCCCTACGACGACTCGTGAAATTTACATGCCCCTTCCGGAAAAGGGGCCAGTGTAGACGTAGCCCTACAGGATTTATATAAAGCATTCTTAAAACTGAAATACCCACCCAGAAAAGTGAAAAAACAGATTGATAGAGCCAGAGGAGTACCCAGACATCAGCTACTTCAAGATAGGTCCTACAAAGAAATCAGGACACCACTTGTCATCACCCACAGCCCCCCACTTAAACCCCTCCTATGCATTTTCAATAATCTACTACCTATCCTGGAAAATGATCCCTCACTTTCACAAGCTTTGGGGGACAGGTCAATCCTCACCTATAGACAACCCCCTAATCTCAAACAATTTTTTTCCTATAACCATCCAGAGCACCTCCATCATACTCATCCACGAACCCACCCCGGTAATCAATGCAGATGCCAACTCTGTCCACACATCTATATATGCAATATCATCACAAGACCTAACCATGTAAACAACCACATCAGAGGCTCATACAACTGCACATCCACTAATGTGATTTATGCCATCAAGTGCCAGCAATGCCTCTCTACCATGTATATTGGCCAAACTGCACAGTCTCTATGAGAAAGAATTAATGGACAGAAATCAGATATCCAAAAAGGCAGCACACAGAAACCCGTCGGGGAACATTTTAACTTGCCTGGGCACTCATTAATGACTCAATGTCATCGTATTGTTTCAAACCAATTTCAAAAGCCAGCTCAACAGGGAAGCTACAGAACTTAATTTCATTTACAAGTTTAACTCCCGCAACAGAAGTCTTAACAAAGACATTGGCTGGATGGCCCATGGCATTCCAAATCCTAATGACATAAAAAAAAACAAAGGGTACTTAAAGTGGGTACTAAGTATTCTTAACAGCTTTGTTTAACATGGACACTCGCACTGACAATTGCTTTCCCTTTTTTTCCTTCTTTTTTCTCCTCTTTCCACTCCCCCATCCCCTCTCTGTGCTATTTATTTGAAAACTGGACCCCTTAAACTCCATTAATCTGAAGAAGTGGGTTGTGCCCACGAAAGCACATGATACCATTCTACATCTTTTGTTAATCTCTAAGGTGCTGCAAGACTATTTGTTGATTTTAAAGATTTTCCCGTTGCAAACTAACATAGCTACCCATCTGAAGCACCGCTAAAGAACAGCTACTCTGAAGAGCATACCAGCTAATAGGGGTGTGAAAGTGTAACTGTGTACATGGATTAACCTTCATGGTTACATGCAGGCTCCTGGTACACATGGGAATCTGGCTAAAAAGCCAGCTCCCCACACACCCTGGCTCCTGGAGAGCTGACTCCCCTCCTCTACCCCGGCATGTAACCACTGAATTTTTCAGCAGTTGCACATTTACTTAATTAACTATATATAATACCCCTACCAACTATATAGTCACTCAATCACATGCCTCTTAGGAAACAAACTCTGCTTATATCTAACATCTTCCTTCAACCTTAACTCCATACAACTCCTAATAAACTGCATCTCACAGCCAAAAAGAGTCTGCTGCTTTTGAACTATGACCAGTCTTCTATATTGCTGGTCTGAGTATGAGGGCCACTTATGCCAAATGATGATATCAGTTAAATTACAGCAGCTTTTTTCTTTTTCCATCCAGACAAGCTGAGTGCGGTAGAAAGCAGTTTTATTTCCTATACTGCTGCTGGTGGTCTGTGCCTTCTCTAGTGCTTTTGACAGTTAGTCTGTGGTCTCTCTCACTGGAATAAAAATGTTATAGCATTTCTGGCATGAATATTTGCCTGATGCTTTCAAACGGGCTATACATTTTATGAGCTCACAGAGAGTGAGCATCTGTGCATTTCATAGAAACTATTGAAATAGCTTGATGGGGTAAAACAAGAAAACATGCTGAAGGTAAGATATACACAGTGAAGATACCCAAACAGCCTTATTTCTTGTAGTGTGATGTCATGCACTAAACTGATGGTTATGATTAAAGTTTTACCATCTGTGGTCCTAGAGTAAATTACATTAATTTTTAAAGGCACATTGGATTTCATTCAATTTTTCTCTCCTCGTGGTGTCACTAGAGGGTAGATATAAGGTTATTTAAGTGCCTTATTGTGCATTTCTTTACAGTATAGCCTTAATACTGAATTTCTTTGATTTCTAATGCTTGGTTTGGGGATAATTATTTTTTACCCTTAAGTCAGTGACTGATATGTATTTTTAAGGGTAATTCTATTTTAATGTATTTTTTTGTCTAAAAAACAGTTGTGCCAAGTAATCCCTCTGTGAGAATTCTGACATATTTCTTGTTTCCATCATGCCACTTTCATTACAGCCAATAGAACTGATGCATCGATTTTAGCTGTCTAGAAAGGGTGATAACTGGTTGAACTACACCTGATGGCAATGACTTGGCTAAAGCTTATTGAACTGTTAACCAGACCATGTCTATAGTCTATATTGGTGGTTTTCAATCTTTTTTATTTATGAATCCCTAAAAAATGTCTAATAGAGGTGCATGCAGACCCCTTTGGAAATTTCAAATGGAAGCACAGATGCCTTTGAAAATCCATTGTTTCTATATAATTAAATTCTGTTCAGTCAGCCTTTTGAGACATAATCTATGGACCCTCAGAAGCCCATGGACTAGAGGCTGAAAACCTCTTGACCATATACTAATTATATACAACAACTGTTAATAACTTACTTACATTATAAATTCTGCATTTACAGATTATGCTCAGGGTTTAATGTATTTTGAATTATATGTAAAGTTTGAAATATTTGCATTATTTCATTGTCTTTGTACCAAATGATCAAAGCAACAGAATAACTCAGATAAAATTTCCAAGCTAAATGGTTGAACTATAGTTTGGCACTCTCGAGACCCAACTGGTGCTGAAACAGAGAATTTGCCAAACCACAGGAAGTCAATATTGTCTAACAGCATTACCAACACTTCCACTGCTTATTGGGCTCTTAGAAGACATTTAGGGGTAAATTAGAGCTAAACAGCAGCACAGAGCTCTGAGAGCCAGAACTGGTGGCTGCAGACAAACTTTATGGGACCACAGGAAACCTGACCACACCCCTAAGTGGACCTCCAACTAACTAAAATTTGGCTGGACCACAGATGTAGTCGGACCAGAGATTGCCAGACTAGAAAGGTTCAATCTGTAGTGCCTGTGCAAATTTTTATGAAGAGCACCTCACATTGAACTTTGATTTCCGGAAGAGATTAGGGGGGATGAGACAGCCAGCCTAGGCACTTGAATAAATAACTTTTTGAACTGAAGATTTACTGAACATGTGCACTAATTTACTTTCAATTTAATATAGACTATGGAATATATAAGGATGTATGTAATGTAATGGTAATTGATGCAAATTTAGTTACCAGTATTATTCAGCTGCATCTGGTTCCCTATTCCCTGTGACAAATCCTGTTCAGTGAAATAATGGAACAATTAAAATTTCTTCATTTCCTTTTATCTCTTTATAGAGTTTAAATAGTCCCCGTGCATCCACAAGTTAATCCACCTGTTCCAATCATTTCTGTTTTTCTTGTCTTGATTGTTCCATCTCTCTATCAAAGGAAGAATAGGGAATCAAGACAATTTTTCCTTTAGGCAAATGAGTGAGGTTTCCTCCCCATGTATATGAATAAAAACTCTCTTCTACCTTCTGTCTAGAATACTTTTATGTTTCATAAGATTAAACAAATCTGGGGATTTTTAAGCTTCACCAACCTAGTTACCACCTCTACCCTTTTCTGGACCTACACCTTCTTTGTTCTAATCCTGAGAGGTTTTTTGACCAGATGAGGCCCGAGGGAGATCCAGCTACCAGCACTTTCTCTGGCCACATCAGATGTAATCTGTACTGTTCAGCCATACAAACAGACTCATAACTAAAGTGTTGTACAATTACTTATCAATAAGAACATGTTTATATTTAGAAGGAAAATACAGCCAGGCCTCCTATAAAGTGAAGGGCAGAGTTTACTATCAGTGCAGTATAGGGTTTTAAAATGCTTTTTCTGTGAAATGCTCTAGGCCTTAAGCACAGAAGACTAAAATGCCAGTTAAGGACTACCAAAGGCTTAAAGAAACAAACCCCTTACTAGCCTACTTTTAAAAGTAAGTTTTAATACCATTTCATACTTTTTTAAATACAATTTCATACCTTTCCTGAAAAATTCTCATAATAATTGACAAGCAGAAGCAAATCTTACAGCTATAAATTATGCAGGTTCAGTTCACACAACAGCTGCAAAACAATTCTGAAGTAAGTGTCACACTGGAAGATTCTAACATAGAGCTCCATTCACTTAACAGGAGCTCTGCAAGTGGCAAGAGTCCACCCACTCATTTCAGGATCAATGCATTGTTACTGTGATTCAGTTCACAGGGGTTAGCAGATTTAATTGAAATGATGCAATAATTGGACCAATACGTAACAAATCGGGACCGGGGGGAAGAGGGTAATACAGGTCGTTTCAGTTCTGAGCACAACTCATCCTCTCTGGGTTGTGCTCAGTTGCAGGAGTTCTGGTTTAATTCCGATTTATACCAATGTGGAAAAAGCCTCTACCAGCATGTCACTCCATGTTGTTTTATAAACTGTAAACAGGCTCTAGTTAATTCAGCCCTATCAACTCCCTCTTCTGTAGAGCAACCCACCCCTTTCTAAGGTGTCTAAAATCTGCTGCTAGGCATGTGCACAGGAATCTCAGTCCATGCAACTGTCTCATGACTAAGACCCAACAAGCTGTTCCCCATCTATCCTAGCCCAGTCTGCTGGGTGTTCTGACATGCTATCTACTAGATGAGGCTCCACAAAGGAGAGAAAGAAAAAGTAAGTAGAACTGCTTCCCCTGTCCCCTCCCTCCCTCCATAGCTTTTAGCCCAGTGATCAGAGCACTTTCCCAAACTATAGGAGACTTGGGCTCAGTTCTTCCTCCATTTCCTCTCACTCCCACCCCCCAACCTGACATGCAGCAGGGATTTTAACTTGAGTGTTTGGTTGGACCTTCATATATAGCTTAATTGTGAGCTCAACTGTGAAGTCAGTGAAAATTCATAAAATGTCACAATAACCTGAAACAACAAACGTTGATGAGAAAATGGAAACACACACTACTGAGTCCAAACAAAAAGGCCTCCTTACATAACATGGACTGTGTTAAGATCAGATAGGCCTAACTGGGGAACAAAATGAGGAGATGGGCTATTCTGTCCAGTGCTCCCTTTTTGGGCCCTAAGAACCCTACAAAACTATCAAAAAAAGGTACACAAATTGCAGAGCACAATTTGCATACCTCTTTCCGACAAAACATTGTAGTCTAGACAAAGCCTGGGTCTCTCTGGTCTGGTCTGGTCTGGTCAGGAAATCTCTCGGGATTAGAAAGAAGAAGGTCTAGGGTCCCAGAAAAGGATAGAGTTAGCAGCCATGATGATGAAGCTTTCTCCTTCCCCTTCCTTCATTTTGCAGTGATTCAGCATTCCCATCTCTGTGTATTTCTTTCCCAGACGTAAATATGGCTGCGTCTAGACTGGCATGATTTTGCTGAAATACTTTTAACGGAAAAGCTTTTCCGTTAAAAGTATTTCAGCAAAATCATGCCAGTCTAGACGCAGCCATATTTACGTCTGGGAAAGAAATACACAGAGATGGGAATGCTGAATCACTGCAAAATGAAGGAAGGGGAAGGAGAAAGCTTCATCATCATGGCTGCTAACTCTATCCTTTTCTGGGACCCTAGACCTTCTTCTTTCTAATCCCGAGAGATTTCCTGACCAGACCAGACCAGACCAGAGAGACCCAGGCTTTGTCTAGACTACAATGTTTTGTCGGAAAGAGGTATGCAAATTGTGCTCTGCAATTTGTGTACCTTTTTTTGATAGTTTTGTCAGAAGAGGCTTTTCTGAAATTTGGCCTGTTTACAGTGGGCCAAATTTTGGAAAAAACCTCCTCTTTTGGAAGAGCCCTTCTTCCTTGTGGCATGAGGAAGACAGGGCTTCCGAAAGAGCACGTCTGCTCTTCTACAAAAATAAAAAGCGGAAGAGCAGATGCATTCCCTGGATGCAGCGGAGTTTTTCTGGGATACATCTGGTATCCCGGAAAAAAACCCGTAGTCTAGACAAAGCCCCAGATGATACCGGCACCTTCCATAACTCCAACAAATCCCAAAGATCAGCTCAGATGTGAGGCTTTATCTTCCTTCTCTGTGTCCCCTATGTGTCATTTTCCTTCCTACCTTATTTCTTCTCTTTCCTATTTGTCTCCTTTTCCCTCTTCTCTCTAATAAGAGGCTGACTTGGAAGGTTGCCAGCTTTCCTGACCAGGAAGTCTGAATGCCATTTGAGCAATGGCATCTGGACTGTCTGTTTGGGAATGCTGGCAAACCAAGCAGGACAAAAACTGGCTCTTCCACAATAAGGCTGTGAGCGTGTGTCCAGAAAGGCAGCTAAAAGCCCTAACAGACCAATACTGGTATAAGTTTGTCCTGACTCAGATGGTTGATAAGTCTGTATGTTATGTTTGTGTTTTTCTAGCAATGAGACTGCAACTGAGAGTCAAAGCCTGAGGTGCCATCTACATTTTTTCTCCTGTGTGTGTGTGTCTTTTTTTACCTTTTAGAAAACGAGATCAGACTTAAACAAAAACAGTTCCTGCCTATCTCAACTCATTTCTTTTTTACACAAAAGAGTGGTAACCATCATCTTCTATAGCACCTAGAAGACCATGAAAAGGGAGAAGGCTGTCCTTCTAAAGGCTCTGTACAGCAAAAGGGAAAGGCAGGGATGTTAAAATTAAAGCCTTATTAAATCAGTAACATTTAAAATGTGGTAACTCTTTTTTCCTTTTCTATATCTTTATTATTTATACACAGCGGAACAGGTTAAATTAGACTGAGAACAAGCTACACGATAGCTCGGTGGCTAAGGCACTCTGATGGGTGGGGGGCCTGTTCTATTCATTTAGATGCAGTATTTGGGCCCAAAGAATCGAAGGTGTTAACATGACCCTGACTCTGTTCAACTTCAGTTTTAAAATGAGAGTCAGGGTTTGAAGATCTCAGTCTGCTCAATATCATGGCAAATACCTTATCCTTTTAATAAAGATATAGAAAAGGAAAAAAGAGTTACCACATTTTAAATGTTACTGAAGATGATATCAGGTGGAGCAGGGGGAATGGAAGCTGTGTTTCCTACATACATTTGAGTGCCCTAATCCCCACACAACAGAATCACTCTTACACTTTTTAGGTATGTCTACACTACGGGATAAAGTCGAATTAAGATACACAACTTCAGCTACATTAATTGCATAGCTGAAGTTGAAGTACCTTAACTCGACTTTTGGCACTGTCCACACTGCAGGAATAATCTCCCTTCGACTTCCCTTACTCCCTGTGGACACAGAACTACCAGCATTGACCAGAGTGCCCCTCTCAGTTTGGATTAGCATGTCTTCACTAGACCCACTAATTCAAACCCTGGAAGATCAACAGCAAAATGATGTCACCTCTCAATGCATAAGGGCTCCTCTCGGAGAAGAGAGGGGGATAGGTGATATGTACTCAGTCCCTACCCCTACAGAGCAACGCAAACACTCCTGCTTCCACTGTCAGCTTGCTCAGGTGAAGAGATACCAATAATCATTATTCAGCAGTTGCTAAGGAACCCACTTTAGTCGCCTAGCAACCTTGCTAGAAATTATGTGACATCTGAGCCATTTAGTCTGCTCATTGAGTTAGCCACTGCTGGAGCAGGCAAGTTTGTCTCTTCATTGTATCCTATTCTCCAGAAATCCCCTCAAGGCATTAGGGGGCAGTTGCCTGCATTAGAGAAAACTGCAGAATCTAGATGAGTGAACACACTCTACCACTTGATGGCCAAACTGTATAGCTGGTTAACAACACACCATGTGGCCAACATTGCTCCCCACCCCCTCCACCTAATGGCCTATTTAACCACAAATGAGTTAAAACTGTTTATGGCATCTGTGCTTAAACTGCCATCCAGAACAGTGTAGACAGATCTTTGCACTGTAGGAAAGCATGCATATAAAGGCAGCATCACAGTAGTACCACTAAGGTAAAGTTGAGGAAGAAAGTGTTGGCAGAAACTCAGAAAATTTGGAGGTCAGCTTCAGATAGTAGCCAAATGAGTAGCCAAAGCTCTGGATGCCTTTTTCAAAAGTACATAACTCCTTGACTCACTAGAAATCTAGTGGGAAGGGTTCATTTCCCACACAACTGGATACTTCCAATGTTAACCAGAAATTCAGCAAGCTGACCCTGGCCAGTAAATGAGTATGGCCCTGCTTAAAAGCCTACTAGTCACTGCAGTCTCACTTCCCTAATACCATCTTTAAAGATCACTATGGCTGTGTCTACACTGCACCCCTTTTCCGGAAAAGGGATGCAGATTAGACAAGTCAGAATTGCAAATGAAGCGGGGGATTTAAATATCCCCCACTTCATTTGTATAAACATGGCTGCCGCTTTTTTCCGGCTCGGGGCTTTGCCGGAGAAAAGCGCCAGTCTAGACGGGATCTTTTGGAAAATAAAGCCTTTTCCGGAAGATCCCTTATTCCTGATTTTAAGAGGAATAAGGGATCTTCCAGAAAAGGCTTTATTTTCCGAAAGATCCCTGTCTAGACTGGCGCTTTTTTCCGGCAAAGCCCCGAGCCGGAAAAAAGCGGCAACCATGTTCATGCAAATGTCGCGGGGAAAATTTAAATCCCCCGCAGCATTTGCAATTCCCAAGTATATCATTAGCATCCCTTTTCCGGAAAAGGGTGCCAACGTAGACACAGCCTACCTGTACAAAAAATACAATTGTAGTCCATAGCACTTGTCTAAAACATCACAGCATATGCATGTAAAGATTGCACCTCAGATTGCATGCACCTTCTGCAGCCCCAGCAAAGCCAGTCGGGGCAGAAACCTTGGTTAATGATTTCAAGCTATCCAAAAAATAGTGAGTGGTTTCCAGCAGCTCATATCCTCCATAATGGACTGAAATGATGGCAATATGATTAAGGTAAGAAATGCTGCACGATGTCTGAAGCTGCAGATTGCTAAAAAGAGCCTTAAGTTTGCGGAAAGGGAAAGGAGATCTTAGTTTCAACTCGCGTATTTACCCTACTTTTAAAACATTTGGAAAAGCCTCTGATTTGTCATAATGATAGTGGAACATAAAAAACTAAGTCCAATTATCCCACTTTTCCAGCCAGCTATGGAGATCAGTGAAGGAATCTGAGAGAAGAGTTCATAAACAGCCATTTTTATGTTCTCTCCTTCCTGATGCATCAAATAGTCTGTGCCAGATGCTCTAGAGGTAAAAAGATATTCTG